CAGGTGGCAATGTATAAGTAACTAAGAGCATTGAGAGCCACTAATATAAGAAACATGTTTTTAAGCTAAAAAAAAGAAATTTTTTAACTGAATATACTAAATCAAACTAAAACCCTCTGATGTGATTGAATTCTTCCATGGCTGTATGTTTCCATTTAATTCTTCCATGGCTATATTCTCCTATAATCACAGACATGACCGGAGTTAGAATTCTCTATCCCTCGGAATTCACACGGGCACAAAGTTGGATTTACAGGGATGGGTTAACGTCAGGGAAGAGATGGCCTATGAATTGCAACCACAACTTCAGGTTTTTGCCTCGTGTGAATAGTTCCCCCGTCCTGCAGTCCTTCATCGCAAACAGCTCCATCTCATCGGAAAATGGGCAAGTCCTTGAAACGGCGTTGGCAGATGTCCCTAGACACAGATCATGTATGCAAGAGACTTTGGGGATTCAGGCATCAAATGAAGCTGGCTTTTCCCTGTTATGCCTTGTCTGTATTTTCCCTTGTCTAATACACTAAGGACGCTTACTCGTTATGCTTGCTGCTCAATGTGTCTCTTCTGTTCAGATACTAAAATGTACCTGAATCAATCAAGAGCCACGTGGTAGGTTGGACGTTGGCATAGGTGATGGGACTCAGGGTGAGAAGCTGGTCTCTTTACCAGGTCACAGACTGTGGTAGTAGATTATGCTGGTCATCTGACGGTGACAGACAGTTTGAAGGTCATTGATTTGCATGCACTACTCTGAGGCCTTGTATTGGAACCTTTTTTAAAAAAATAAAATAACATGTTAGTGGTTGGGGGTGTGTGTGAGTATGTGCACACATGTTGCAAGTAAGAATTACCAGATAACATCTCTCCCCTCCTTTCTTAATAACTTCTGAGTATCAGAAGACAGCCCAGCTCCTGTGTTACCTGTGTGGTTAAGGCCTCCGGACAAAATCAAGGTCACTGGGCTCTTAACAGGGGTTAAGTATGGGTTCAAGTTCTGTCCTTATCTTTAGTTATTCCTGCAGTGTTGATTAAATGAACTGTCTTCGGCAGGTGTCGTGCAAAACCCTTTGAGGTGGTTAATCAGGTGTTCAGCTGACAGATGAAGAAACTGGTTGAGAGAGATGAGCCTGGCTGGGGTCAAAAAGCCAGTCAGTGGTGGAAGGAGGATTTGAAGCCCAGTCTGCCTCACTCGCTTGCCCTATGTAGCAAGGAGGGTTCCACGTGGGTCAGGTACAGTGGGAGTGCTCAAGCAAGGTTTGTGGCCCAAAGGTAGCGGAAGTGGGCGACGGGGAAAGAGATTGGAAGCTGCTGAGTGGATCTCTGATATTGCCATCACTTGGACCTTTGAGACCTCCCAGGACTAAACCAGGAGGAGGTAATATTTAGCGCTCACTCTGGGTCAGACAGAATGCCAAGTATTATGTGTGCGTACCTCATTTAATCCTCTCAACAGCTCCAGTTTACAGATGAAAAAATGAGTGTGGTGAGGTTAAGCCTGCTCAGGGTTACACCGCTGGGATTCCAGCCCAGGTCTGTCTGCCTCCAAAACCCAAGCTGCCCTGGCCTGCTTCGTGTATGGACACTCAGGTTTCTCACATGGGGTAGGATATTTCATCCATAGGAAGCACCTCCTCTGAACTTTAAGGTCAAAAGCTCTTCTGACTAAAACTCTTCAGTAGCCTAGCATGGTTTTAAAAAATACTTCAGAAAGGACTTCTGGCTTCAGCTCAGGCATACAAAGAGTTTGGCAGTTGTCACTCCTGTCCTTACCACAAAGAAAAGCTGGGCAAACTGAAAGTCAGTGACTCTTTGGATCCATCAGAGAACTGAGTTTGCAGGGCCTACTGCCACCTAGAAATGTGGAGAGGTGAATGCAGAATCGCAGCCAAGATCTGCTTACCTGAAGCAGAAGCCACTGGAGCCAGAGCTGCTAGGAAAACTCGCTGAATTGCTGGAGGCTGAGTGTGGACTAGCATGGGAGTAAGAAACCCCTGGGGGTCAGCCTAAGTACACCCCACACTCTCGGGTTTTACATCCTGGAACCCCACCTGGTTTTCATAGCTAATTGCTTTGGCAGGGAAAGGGGGAAGAGTTACCTTTGTAAAATAAACTCAGCATTCTCCATAACAAAGGCCTGTTGGGGGGCTGGGAGGTTTACCAGAGTCTAACCCCACGTGGGGAAGGGCATTTCACACTAGCCCCCTCTAGCCTTCCTGTCTCATCCAAGTGTGGGGAGGGTAAAATTGAAAACTCATGTTTTTCTATACATTCTACTCACACACTCTTCTGACACTAAATACGGGGTTTTTGTTTTTGTTTTTTGCGGTACGCGGGCCTCACTGCTGTGGCCTCTCCCGTTGTGGAGCACAGGCTCCGGACGCGAAGGCTCAGCAGCCATGGCTCACGGGCCCAGCCGCTCTGCGGCACATGGGATCTTCCCGGACCGGGGCACGAACCCGTGTCCCCTGCATCGGCAGGCGGACTCTCAACCACTGCGCCACCAGGGAAGCCCAATACGGGACGGGTGGGGTTTCCACAACGACCAATTCTCCAACACCAGCTGGGTGTCCAACAATTCAGTTCAATTCTGACACTGTCTACCTGGAGTTACCATCAGATCCCACACGTTAAGGGCTCAGTCCACCAAGACTGCCCCTCCACTTCAGATGCCAATCACAAGTGCGGGCCTCGGGTACTTCTGACTTTCTATGAATCAGGGGTTTCTACAACTCCTCCTTGGTTTCGATGATTTGCTATAATGGCTCACAGAACTCAGGGAAACAGTTCACTTACTAGATTATTGGTTTATTGTAAAAGAAGACAACTTAGGAACAGCCAGACGGAAGAGATGCATAGGGCAAGGTATAGGAAGGGGTGTGGAGCTCCCATGCCCCCCTCTGGGCACATCACTCTCCAGCACCATGGTGTGTTCACCAACTTGGAAGCTCTCCAACTCCCTAAATTAGGGTTTTTATAATGAAGGCTTTATTACATAGGCGTGATTGATTGAATCTTTTGGCCATTAGCGATTAACTCAACCCTTAGCCCCTTACCTTCCTGGAGGTCAGAGGTTGAAAGGGGCTTGTTATGAATAACAAAAGCCACTCCTTTCACCTTCATCTTTCCAGAGCTGTTTCAGGAACAGGGACAAAAATTAGATATGACAAAAGAAGCTCCTATCACTCTTATCATTAAGGAAATTATAAGAGTTTTAGGAGCTCTGGCCAGGAGCTGGGAACAAAGACCAAACATATTTCTTATTCTTTATCACAGAGGGGGATTCAGAGACAGGAAGGTCATAGCCCAAGGACACAGACCCACTAAAATACTGAAATTTCACCATAAAATTACAGAATGCTTCCCTGCTACCACACCTTACTACCACACCAACAGAACTCCAGTATAAGGATGCATTACAGCTAAAAGAGCTACAAAACACAGACTCTAGGGAAGCCCAAAGTCAAGAGAGACAAAAACAGACACTAGAGGAATTTGAAGCCTCTGGGGCCTACAGCTACAGCAAACAAACACAGCTCTACTTCTAGCCAGAATAACATAACCCCTCATAGTAGAGGCTTATTTACCTCAGTTCCTATTACCTAATACAGCCAATAATGTCTCACTTCCAACAAAAAATTTTAAGTGTGCTAAAAAAGGTAAGGGAAAACCCCACAGTCTGATAAGACAAAGCACATATCAGAACCAGATTCAGGTATTACACAGATGTTGGTGTTATCAGATAGAAAACTAAATGATTAATATGTTAAAGAGTCCAGTGGTAAAAGTAAATAATATGCAAGAACAGATGGGTAATGTCAGCAGAGATAAGGAAACTCTAAGAAAGATTGAAAGGAAATGCTAGAAATAAAAAAGACTAACAAACAATGCCTCTGATGAGCTCATCAGTTGACACAGCCAAGGAAAGAATCAGTGAGTCTGGAGATAGGTCAATAGAAACTTCCCTACTGCAAAGCAGAGGGAAAAAAGAATGAAAAAAACCCAAAAACACCGAATAGAACATCCAAGAACTATGGGACAATTTCAGAAGAGGTAAAACATGCATAATTGGAATACCAGAAGGAGAAAAAAAACGAGAGACTAAAGAAAAATATTTAAAGTAATAATGGTCAAGAACTTTCCAAAATTAATGACAGTCACTACACCACAGGTCCAGGAAGCTCAGAGAACACCAAGCAGTATAAATACCAAAAATACACACCTAGGTATATCTTATTCAAACTCTATAAACCAAAGACAAACTTGAAAGAAACCAGAAGAAAAAACCATCTTACCTATAGTGGAAAAAAGAGAGCTGACTACTCATCAGAAACCATGCAAGAGGAGAGTGGAGTGAAATAAAGTGTTGAAAGATGCCTCCCAACCCCCAACCTAGAATACTATATCTGGCAAAATTATCCTTCAAAAGTGAAGGAGAACGTTCTCAGATCAGTAGGAAATGCATCTCATCCACCTTTTGCTTTTCAAGAAATTGAGGTCCAGAGCTCTCAAGTGGCTAAACTAGAAAGGAGTGGATCCCAAAATCTCCTTTTTTTTTTTTCCTTTTTGCAAGTCAGGTTTTTAATTTTGTTTTTTTCTTAAGTCAATGTTAGAAATTGCTTAGTTCTAACCCTTCACTTTAAAACTGGAGAAGTTGAGAGAGCAAAACTGACATATTTGAGGTTGAACAGAAAGTTACTAGCCGACTTGGTGTTCAAACTCAGCTCTCCTGAATTATTTCCTACTGTAAGTTTGTTGTCTGAATGATTGAGTTTGAGCCTATATAAAATATTTTCCCCTGGCGGAGGGGAGAAAGACTTGATTCACAAATCGTGAAAACCTTAACGTTCCAACAGGAGCTTTAACGCTTAGGCGTACGTGCCGGCTCCCACCGCCCCCGCCTAAGGAAAACTCTGCCAGCCAGTACTACAAGTCCCAGGCCGCTCCGCGGCGCGCGCGCTGCCCGCCGGGAAGCGTCTCCTGTGAGTCTGCGCGGGAAGTGGAAATCGGCGCTGAGGAGAAGCGGCGAGAGGGCCGCCCGGGCGGCGTCAGCTTAGCTCGTCTCTACGCGTTGCTGGGCTCGCGGCCGGCGGTCCGGCCCCTCCGCCGCAGCCGCCATGTCCATGAAGGGCCGCTTCCCGATACTCCGCACCCTGCAGTACCTGGGCCAGGGGGACATAGTGTTCAAGGAGTCGGTGAAGGTCATGACGGTGAACTACAATACGCACGGGGAGTTGGGCGAGGGCGCCAGGTCAGTCCGAGCCGCCGGGTCCCACCAATAACTTGCGAGTCATTGAGACCCGGCGCTGCGCTGGCGCCAGGGCCCCCATTGCACGGACGGGCAGCTGCCCCGGGGTTCCACAGCAGAAGAGGACCTCAGGGCCTCGTCGCGCCGGGTGGGGGCGGCGCTGACGGGGAGGCCGAAGCCTCCTCAGCCACCCGTGCCCCGCGGGCGGCGCGCGGTCCGGGTGGAGACCAGCCCGGGGCGACCGACCCGCTGGGGTCCGGGCTCTTCCACCTGCTGGCTTTGGGAGAGTTGCTTTTCCTCAGTGTTGCGACCGGGGTGATACCTATGTCTCAGGGCCGATTTGGGGGTGTAGTGGCAGGGGTAACAGCTGCTGGCATTTATTGAGTCCTCGTACGTGCAGCGCGTTTCTGAATGCTCCTCGTGCACTAGCTCGTTTGATTTCTACATAAACCTCGCTGTTCTCTTCACTCCAGGGATGAAGGAACGCAGGAGGTTAAGGAACTGGCTTGTCCAGGGTACCATAGTCAGCTGGTGAGGGGGCGGTTCTGAAAGGGGGCTTCGTTCTCGAAGGACTCGTGACCCTTAGAGTGAAGGGACTGTGAGCTGCGCAGCGGCCCCCGCCCCAACTCCTTAATGCTTTTCAGCCCGCAGCAGAGTCGGGATTCATTGATTGGATCTTGCAAGTGAAAGGTTTGAACTGAACCTCGAGGCAGCAGCAGTGCTTTGGGCTTTTCAGGTGTTAGGCATAAATTTACTGAGTGCCTCGTGCTGTTGCTGGGAATTCAAGGCCTGTCTTACAGAAACTTTGGGATTGGGTGTGTGGGATGGATCAGAGTGAGCCTGGAGAGCAACTCCCTGTGGAGGGTGGTCCCACCATGGCGCGGCCTTCAGTGCAGGGCTGTTCAGGAGAGCCAGCAGCTACCCCCTAGCCGTTTGCTTTCCACAGGTCAACGCAAGAACTTGAACCTACTTGCGTGGGGTCAGCTGGGATGAGGGCTTCCTAGAAGACTCAGTCTTAGGGCTGAATAGGCACCCAGATACTCCTGCATAACCAACTTTGCATCCATCCATCCATCCATCCGCACCAGGAGTCACAGGGCAGAGGCCAGGCAGGTACAAACAAAGGAGAGAGACAGTCTGGATGGGCCTGCAGTAAACTGAAAACGTGCCCTGCCTCACGGGGCCATTCACTGCTTGGCTACATCTTAGCTCTTTGGGCTCCATGGAGAATTTCTGACCTGTCAAGGAGCCAGAAATTCAGATTTTTATGTAAATCTTTGGTTTTTAAATGGTCAGCCAATCAAAATAGGCCTGCACATACTCGCATGCTCAAGTATTTTCATACTCTCTGGGTAAATAGGAGCCAAACAGCCATTCTGTGTTTCACTGTTCCTAGTGATAAGGGCTTGACTGTCCCACCGGTGCCCTTCGGGTTTGAGCCTGTCAGACTTGCTCTTTGTAGCCCCACCGGCCTTTCTTTGCTTGTTCACGTGCCCTCAGCACTTCATCTGGCCCTCCATTCCAAGTGCCAGTGGCCAGTACAGCGCCGGGCTAGCAAGTCTTAGGGTATTTGCTGGGTGTGTGGGGAGCTGCCTTATTCAGAGTCTGAGAGCTAAGTTCCTCCTCACCTCTGCCAGGTGTTCTTGCCCTTAAGATGCAATGGGAGAAGTAACAGCTGCTGGAATTTATTGAGTTCTGTGTCCAGCCTTGTGCCTCAGGACCCAGGTGAATTTGATAGTGATGGAGCCCAATGCTCACAGCCCTGATTGTTTGACTTACTGGTCATGTGACCCAGGGCAGTTTACTTTTCTGGCCGTTTTTTAATAATTAATTAATTTTTGGCTGCGTTGGGTCTTCATTGCTGCACGCGGGCTTTCTCTAGTTGTGAAGACCTGCATATGTCTTTTTGAATTATGGTTTTCTCTTGGTATATGCCCAGTAGTGGGATTGCTGGGTCATATGGTAATTATTTTTAGTTTTTTAAGGAACCTCCATACTGTTCTCCATATTGGCTGTATCAATTTACATTCTCACCAACAGTGCAAGAGGGTTCCCTTTTCTCCACACCAGCATTTATTGTTTGTAGATTTTCTGATGATGCCCTTTCTAACCCGTGTGAGGTGATACTCATTGTAGGTGATACCTCGTTGTTTTTTTAAAATTTATTTATTTATTTATTTTTGGCTACGTTGGGTCTTTGTTGCTGTGCGTGGGCTTTCTCTAGTTCTGGGGAGTGGGGGCTACTCTTCGTTGCGGTGTGTGTGCTTCTCACTGCAGTGGCTTCTCGTTGTGGAGCACGGGCTCTAGGCGCACAGGCTTAGTAGTTGTGGTGCACGGGCTTAGTTGCTCTGCGGCATGTGGGATCTTCCCAGGCTCGAATCTGTGTCCCCTGCTTTGGCAGGCAGATTCTTAACCACTGTGCCGCCAGGGAAGCCCCCTCATTGTAGTTTTGATTTGCATTTCTTTAATAATTAGTGATGTTGAGTATCTTTTCATATGCTTCTTGGCCATCTGTTGTCCATTGATTCGTTTGCAAATATTTTCTCCCATTCTGACGGTTGTCTTTTCTCTTGTTTATGGTTTCCTTTGCTGTGCCAAAGCTTTTAAGTTTCATTAGGTCCCATTTGTTTATTTTTGTTTTTATTTCCATTACTCTAGGAGGTGGGTCAAAAAAGATCTTGCTGTGTTTTATGTCCAAGAGTGTTCTTCCTATGTTTTCCTCTAAGAGTTTTATAGTGCCTAGTCTTACATTTAGGTCTTTAATCCATTTGGAGTTTATTTTTGTGTATGGTGTTAGGGAGTGTTCTAATTTCATTCTTCTTTTTATATATAAATTTATTTTTTTTTAATTTTTAAATTTTTGGCTGTGTTGGGTCTTCGTTGCCACATGTGGGCTTTCTCTGGTTGTGGTGAGCGGGGGCTACTCTCGGTTGCGGTGCACAGGCTTCTCGTTGCAGTGGCTTCTCTTGTTGTGGAGCACGGGCTCTAGGCACAGGGCTTTAGTAGTTGTGGCACGCGGGCTCAGTAGTTGTGGTACGTGAGCTCTAGAGCGCAGGCTCAGTAGTTGTGGTGCACGGGCTTAGTTGCTCCGCGGCATGCGGGAACCTTCCCGGGTCAGGGCTCTAACCCGTGTCCCCTGCATTGGCAGACAGATTCTTAACCACCGCACCACCTGGCAAGCCCTAATTTCATTCTTTTACATGAAGCTGTCCAGTTTTCCCAGCACCACTTATTGAAGAGGCTGTCTTTTCTCCATTGTATATCCTCCAGAGGCAACAACTTTCAACTCTAACCATTTGATTAGAGTTTTACTCCCATATAGTTAAATACCATACTTAGAGAGCTCCTTACTTTCTTAGCTTTAGGCTTTATCTGTTGACTTGTCACTGTGGAAGGCAAGGATTTAGCTCTTCAAGAAGCATTGCTGTTCCCTACCGCAGCACATGCATACTACTCGACGCCCCCCCATCCTCCCAATATAGTCATTTAAGAATTTTGGATAAATCAGTATTCACTGTTAAATTATTATGACTTTGTAAACACTGTACACAGTTGAGTCAAATACTTTGATTATTTTTCCTTTTTGTTTTTGCAGTTTTTTGTTTTCCCTGGAGTTATTGTCATTGCTTTTAACTGCAGATTCTGCCCCAATTATGGACATCTCCCCAAGCAAATGTCACACAGTCAGACCTTCTGTTGATCCTATCTTTTTCTTCTTGAGACTAAACTACAAGCTGCTATCTGGACTGGTTGTCCTGCGTTGCCATCATGTTGGCATAAACACTGAGGCACACAGCAGTAACTTGCTCTGGGTTATATACAGCTGGGAAGTGGTGAAGCCAGGCAACCACGCTTCTACCCGTGTACCACTCGCACCTTTCCATCGTCTGGTATGGGGAGCAGGGTGGCAGCAGGAAGCAGAGAATGCATTTAAATTCGGGTTATTGGGGAGGCTTTAATCAAGAGACTAATTGCAAAGGTGCAGGCAGAATCTTAACCACTGTGCCACCAGGGAAATCCCTTGCAAAGGTTTTAATGTAATCAAATTTATCTGTGTTTTAAACCTTCTGAGTTTAGAGGTTTCTCCACTCCTTGATTGTAAAAGTATTCCCCATGTTTGTTTTCATGGTTTCATTTATTTTTAAATTGTGGTATAATTTACATAAAGTGCTCACCTGTAGATACACAGCTTCTCATATGAGTACACTGTGCAGCTGTCACACCAATCAAGACCGAGGACATTTCATGGTTTCATTTTTATATTTATACTTCTGTTTTGGTGAGTTTTAGGCTAATATGCAACATGAGGTAGGAATATAGATTTCTTTTCCCTAAAATGACAAACCAAGAGTCCCAACACCCACATTCAGACAACACGTTAGTGGATTCCTGAGACCTGCTTTTCCTACCTCCACCTTTTCGCGGGGGGGCAGGGTCCTCTTAGAATCTGATGAGAGTTCTGGACTTTCTCTTTAGAAGAACATACAGGTGCATACAATTTTAGGTTAAAAACTCTCATGGGTTTAATTTCTTCTGTTTTGCAGGAAATTCGTGTTTTTCAACATACCTCAGATCCAGTATAAGAACCCCTGGGTACAGATCATGATGTTTAAGAACATGACGCCAACACCCTTCCTGCGGTTCTATTTAGGTGAGCGCAGGGCCCTCTGCCATGGCCCAGGCCTGACTTGCCTCCCATGTTCCTCCTGTGTGGCAGTCAGCGGGGGCTGAGATGGGAGCACTTGTAAACCTACGTTGGTCCTGTCACCTTGGCTGTTATACCTGGCACACAGTGACTGCACAGATCTGGTCTGTCCCTCTCCAGCCGCATCTCCTGTTGCTGCCACATCTCCTACATAGCCTCATGTCATATGGGCTAGTCTTTCCAAATTCCCTTGCTGCACTGTGCTTTGTTGCCTTTGCTCATGTCGGTTCCTTTGCTGGAAATCCCCTTTTTACTTTTCTTTGCTTAATTAAAAAATAAATCCTTTGGGACTCAGCTTGGGCACCATTTCTCTCAGGAAACCTTACCTACACCTTAGATTGGACTCTCCCTTCTCTCAGGGCACGTCTCTCAGTGCTGGCCACATTCTCTTGAACAGTGTATGTGTCTGCGTGTGTCCTCTATGGACCATATGCATTTACATGATGCTCTCCTGTCCCTGTGAGGAGCAAACATGAAGATGTATTCAGTTAAATTGGGCTCAGTGCCTGGAAGTCAGAAGACCATATATTCTAGCCCAACTCTCTACTCAGTCATTCTGATCCTGAGCGAGTAATGTTCCCACTTACATATTTCTAGGGGAAGGCAAAACATCTTCCTTACACGGTTATGAGAATCAAATGAAGTATAGACTGGGAAATTCGTCAGGAAAGAAAATGATGATGTTCTTTCATTCGTTCAGCAAATATGTATCAAGTTCCTGTTAGGACCCAGGCACTGTTCTAGGTGCTTGGGGTGTCAGGGGGCCATACAAACAAAGATCTCTAGCCTTGTAGAGATGATATTCCAGCAGGAGGAGATAGAATGAACAAGAAACTCAATAACATGGTTTGTTAGAAGATGAGTGCTATGGAGAAAAGAAAAATAGAGCAAGGTGGAGGCGAGGAGAATGGTGGTCGTTGGCAATTTCGTGTATATATTTCGTGTTGGCATTTTAAAAAATTAACTTTATTGAGGTATAATTTACCCATAATAAAATGGACAGGTCTCACGTGCATGGAGTGATGAGTTCTGATAGATGTGACGGGCCTGTGTCACTGTTTCCCAGTGAAGACCCAAAAAGTCTCCCAGTACTGCTTTCCAGTTCCCAGTCCCAAGAGGGGCAACCACTGTTAGCAGTTCTTTTTTTTTTTTTTTGGCCGCACTGTACAGCTTGTGGAATCTTAGTTCCCCGACCAGGGATTGAACCCAGGCCCTCAGCAGTGAGCACAGTCCTAACCACTGGGGCCGCCAGGGAATTCCCTCTGTTAGCAGTTCTTTCACCATAGACTAGTTAGTTTTGTTTCAGAACCTAATATAGAATCTCACAGTATACGTTCTTTTGTGTCTGGTTTTCACTTGTCTTTTTGAGATTCATCCATGTTATGTGTATCAGTAGCTTACTCATTTTTATTGCTGCATAGTGCTCCATTATCAGAACATACCACAGTTTATCCATTTATTTGTTGATGAACATTTGGGTTTTCTATAGATGCCAAGACAGAGCTACAAGTATGAGGTTTATTGGAGATGGGGGGCAGGCAGGGAGTCTTCAGATGGCAAAGCACGTCTGACATCTCTGGAAGGAGGTCTGGCCAGGAGACGCCTCAGATGAGAAAGTCGGGGCTGGTCGGTAGGAAGCTCTGGCTGCGTGTTGGGCAGAAGCGGCAGGTCCTGGACGTGGACCTGGGAGAGCCGGGTGGGCTTGGCTCTGCTGCTGCTGCAGCGGGTCTCAGAGACTCCTGCAAGGAGGGTCTTGTTCGAGGTGGGTGTTAGCGGCTGCCTGCCGAGGGTGGTTTTGGGAAGGTGCATGTCGCTGTGGACCTAGGTGTTCAGTTCTCCTGGGCACAGGCTCAGGATGGGCTTGCTGGGCCACAGAATAGGCACGTGACCTTAGAAACCACCCAGACAGGCCTCCAAAATGGTTATGCCATTTGTCTCTGCAGTCCACAGGGTGAGGGGTCCTGCTGGCCCCCCATCCTCACCCAAACTGGTCCTATTGCTCATCTGCATTTCCTGTGGCTGCTGTAAGATCACCACGAGGTTGGTGGCTTAAAGCAATACAGATTTCTCATCTTAGTTTTGTAGGTTTGAAGTCCAACATGGGCTAAAATCAAGGTGTTCGCAGAGCCTTCCTTCCTGGAGGCGCTAGGGATGAATCCATTTCCATGCCTTTTCCAGCTTCTAGAGGCCCCCACATTCTTAATTTATTTATTTTTAAATTCTTTCTTTCTGTCTTATTTTTGGCTGTGTTGGGTCTAAGTTGCTGCACGTGGGCTTTCTCTAGTTTCGGCGAGTGGGGGCTGCTTTTCTTTGTGGTGCGTGGGCTTCTCATTGCGGTGGCTTTTCTTGTTACGGAGCATGGGCTCTAGGCGTGCGGGCTTCAGTAGTTGTGGCTCGCGGGCTGTAGAGCACAGGCTCAGTAGTTGTGGTGCATGGGCTTAGTTGCTCTGCGGCATGTGGGATCTTCCCAGACCAGGGCTTGAACTCGTGTCCCCTGCACGGGCAGGCGGATCCTTAACCACTGCGCCACGAGGGAAGCCCGAGACCCCTACATGCTTTGGCTCGTGGTCCCTTCCTCCATCCTCGAAGCCAGCTGTGTTCGTGTCTGGCCCTCTCCAACAGTCACACGTCCCTCTGACCACAGCCCAGGAGGGTCTCCAACTTTAAGGACCTTGTGATTAATGGGACTGTAAGATTATCCAGGAGAATCTCCCCATTTCTGGGTCCTTAGGTTTAATTTCTTCTGCAGAGGCCCCTTGGCCACGTCAGGTGTCATATTCACAAGTTCTGGGGGACTAGGTGGGGGTATCTTTGGGGGCCATTCTTGTCATCACATAAGTCTTTTCAGCCATTCCAGTGCCTGTATATCTCCTTGACATTTTAATTTGCATTTCCCTGTATCTTTCCATGTGCTTATTGGCCATTCATTTATTTCTTTTGTAAAGAGTCTGTTTGGATCTTTCGTCCATTAAAAAAAAAAAAGTGGGGGGCTTCCCTGGTGGCGCAGTGGTTGAGAGTCCACCTGCCAATGCAGGGGACATGGGTTCGTGCCCCGGTCTGGGAAGATCCCACATGCCGCGGAGCGGCTGGGCCCGTGAGCCATAGCCACTGAGCCTACGCGTCCGGAGCCTGTGCTCCGCAACGGGAGAGGCCACAACAGTGAGAGGCCTGCGTACTGCAAAAAAGAAAAAAAAAAAAGTGGGGGCTCTTTTCTTGTTGAGTTGTTCATATATTCTGTATTCGGTTCCTTTGTGAGATGTATTGTAAATATTTTCTGTCTGTGGCTGCCTTTTCATTTTTTTAATGGTGTCTTTTGAAGAGCAGAAATTTTAATTTTGATGAATTCCATCTTATCAGTTGTTTTCTTTTATGTTTAGTACTTTTTATGTCCTGTCCAAGAAATCTCTGCCTACCCCAAAGTCACAAAGATTTTTCTCCTGTGTTTCAAAACTGGGAGAGTCCTAGATTTACATTTAGGTCTATGATCTCGTTATTTGTGTATTAAGTGAGATAAGGATTGAGGTTCATTTTAGGTGTTTTAGATTTGGGATATTCAGCTGTTATAGCACCATTTGTTGAAAGACAGTGCTTCCCCTTATTTAATTTCCTTGGCACCTTTGTCAGAAAAATTGACCATGAATGGATAAACAAAATCCGTATATTCACTCAGTGGAATATTATTCAGCCATGAAAAGAAATGAAGTACTGGCACACGCTACAACACGAATGAACCTTGAAAGCATGCCAACGGAAAGAAGGCAGATGCAAAAGGCCATATAGTGTATGATTCCATTTGTGTGAGGTGTCCAGAACAGACAAAGCCATAGGGATAGGAAGTGGTTGTCAGGGGCTGGGGTGGTGTGGGGAATAGGAAGTGACTGCTTAATGGGTACAGGGTTTCTGTTTGGAGTCATGAGAAAGTGCTGGAACCTAGATAGTGGTGATGGATGCACAACATTGTGAAGGCATTAAAAACCACCAAATTTTACACTTTAAGCTGGTTAAAATGGGAGAATTCCCTAGAGGTCCAGTGGTTAGGACTCCGTGCTTTCACTGCCAAGGGAGCGGGTTTAATCCCTGGTCAGGGAACTGAGATCCTGCAAGCTGCATGGCACAGCAAAAAAAAAAGAAGTATAATTGATGTACAGTAATATTATGTAAGTTACAGGTGTACAATATAGTGATTCACAATTTTTAAAGGTTATACTCCATTTATAGTTGTTATAAAATATTGGCTATATTCCCCATATTGTACAGTATATCTTTGTAGCTTATTTTATATATAATAAATATATATATAATAGTTTGTACCTCTTACTCCCCTACCCCTATGTTTCCCCTCCCTCCTTCCCTCTCCCCACTGGTAACCACTAGTTTGTTCTATCTGTGAGTCTGCTTCTTTTTTGTTATATTCACAAGTCTGTTGTATTTTTTAGATTCCAAAAATAAGTGCTATCATACAGTATTTGTCTTTCTCTGTCTGACTTAATTTCACTTAGCATAATGCCCTCCAAGTCCATCTATGTTGCTGCAGATGGAAAATTTCATTCTTTTTTATGGCTAAGTAATATCCCATTGTGTGTGTGTGTATAGTACATCTTTATGCATTCATCTGTTGATGGGCATTTAGGATGCTTCCATAGCTTGGCAATTATAAATAATGCTGCTTTAAATATTGGGGTGCATGTATCTTTTTGAATTAGTGTGGTTTTTTTCGGGTATATACTCAGGAGTGGAATTGCTGGGTCATGTGGTGGTTCTATTTTTAGTTTTTTGAGAAACCTCCATACTGCACCGGTATACATTCCCACCAACTGTGTACAAGGGTCCCCTTTTCTCCACATCCTCACCAACCTTTGTTATTTGTGGTCTTTTTGATGAATGCCATTCTGACAGGTGTGAGGTGATATATGTCATTGTGGTTTTTTGAGTTGCATTTCCCTGATGATTAGGTATCTTGAGCATCTTTTAATGTGCTTGTTGGCCATCTGCATTTCCTTTTGGAAAAATGTCTATGCAGTTCTCCTGCCCATCTTTTAATCAGGTGAAGTATTTATTTATTTACTTGGCTGTGCCAGGTGTTTGTTGCCACAAACTTTTAGTTGCAGTATGCGAACTCTTAGTTGCAGCATGTGGGCTCTAGTTCCCTGACTAGGGATCGAACCTGGGCCCCTTGCATTGGGAGCACAGAGTCTTAATCACTGGACCACCAGGGAAGTCCCTCATTTTGTTTTATGTTTTCCTTTGCTGTACAGAAGCTTTTTTTTTTTTTTCTTTTTTTTTTGGCGGTACGCAGGCCTCTCACTGTTGTGGCCTCTCCCATTGCGGAGCACAGGCTCCAGACGCGTAGGCCCAGCGGCCATGGCTCATGGGCCCAGCTGCTCCGCGGCATGTGGGATCTTCCCGGACCAGGGCATGAACCCATGTCCCCTGCATCGGCAGGCGGACTCGCAACCACTGCGCCACCAGGGAAGCCCCTGTACAGAAGCTTTTAAATTTAATTAGGTCCCATTTGTTTATTTTTGCTTTTATTTCCTTTGTTTTAGGAGACAGGTCCCCCCAAAATATTGCTGCGATTTATTTCAAAGAGTGTTCTATGTTTTTTCTAGGAATTTTATGGTAGTGTTTATATTTAGGTCTTTAATCCATATTATTTTTGTAGATGGTGTTAGAAAATGTTTTAATTTCATTCTTTTACATGTAGGTGTCCAGTTTTCTCAGCACCACTTATTGAAGAGAGTGTCTTTTCTCTATTGTATGTTCTTGCCTTCTTTCTGGTAGATTAATTGACCATAAATGCGTGGGTTTATTTCTAGGCTCCCTGTTCTGTTCCACTGGTCTATGTGTCTGGTTTTTTTTGTGCCAGTACCTTGCAGTTTTGAATACTGTAGCTTTCTGGTGTAGTCTGAAGTCAGAGAGCATGATTCCTCCAGCTCTGATCTTCTTTCTTAAGATTGTTTTGGCTATTCGAGTTTATTTCTGAACTCTTCATCCTCTTTAACTGAGCTGTATGTCTGTCCTTATGCTAATAGCACACTGTCTTGGTTTTTGTATTTCATAATATGTCTTAAGATCAGGAAGTGTAAATCCAACTTTGTTCCCCACCCCCCCTTTTTTTTTCCAAGATTAATTTGGCCCTTGTAGGTTCTTTGCATTTCCATTCTGACTTTAAATCTGCTTGCCAGTTTCTAGAAAAAAAGCTTGCTGGGATTTTGTTCGGAATTATAGATCACTGAGGATAATGGACATTTAAAAAAAATAAATTTATTTTTGGCTGCACTGGGTCTTCGTTGCTATGCACTGGCTTTCTCTAGTTGCGGCGAGCGGGGGCTACTCTTTGTTGTGGTGCGTGGGCTTCTCATTGCAGTGGCTTCTCTTGTTGCGGAGCATGGGATCTAGGCACACGGGCTCAGTAGTTGTGGTGCACAAGCTTAGTTGCTCCATGGCATTTGGCATCTTCCTGGACCAGGGCTCGAACCCTTGTCCCCTGCATTGGCAGGTGGATTCTTAATCACTGCGCTGCCAGGGAAGTCCCTGGACGTTTTAATAATATTGAGTATGTTTTGTGACTACTGTAAATGGTATTTTTAAAATTTTCATTTTTCAGTTCTTTGGTTAACACCAAACAACTTTGTAGAAGTACCGCTGATTTTGTACATGGGCCTTGTGTCTTGCAATCTTGGTAATTCATATTTCTAGAAGTTTTTATTTTCTAAATTCCTTAGGATTTTCTACATACACAGTCATTACATCTGCAAATAAAATTCTTCCTTTCCAATCATTTAATTATTTTTGTGTGTGTCTTAATTCACTAGCTGATGTGGCTGTAAAATTTTGCATTTTTACTAGTAATTTAGGAAAGTTCCAGCTACTCTGCATCCTCACTAGCACTTGGTATTGTGTTTAAAAAAATTTTAGCCACCTTAATATCTCACTGTAGTTTTATTTTGTATTTTCCTAATGACTGATGATATTGAGTATCTTTTCATGTGCTTATTATTATCCATTTTTGTTGTTGTTAAATGTTTATTCAGATATTTTGCCCATTTTTTCTTTGGATTGTCTTTTTGACATTGAATTGTGAGAGTTCTTTAGTCAGGCTACAGGTCCTTTATCAGATATATGCTCTTCTTCCTCACTGAGTTGTCTTGTCATCTTTGCTGAAAATAAGTTGACCATAAATTTAGTAAGAGTTTATTTCTAGACTCAGTTCAGTTCCATTGCTCTAGGCTGTTCTTTTGCTCAGTACCACACAGACTTGATTACTGTAGCCTGTGGTAAAATTGAAATTGGGAAGTGAATGTTCGCCCATTTTCTTGTTTGTCAAGGTTGTTTTGGCTGTTTTGGGTCCTGTGCATTAATTTTAGGCTCAATTTTTCAGTTTTCTACAAAAACACCTGCTAGGATTTTTGATAGGGATTGACTGAATCCATAGACTGATTTGGGGAGGATTGCCATCTTAACAATATTAAATCTTTCTATCCATGAACATGGAGTTTCTATTTAAAATAGTATGCATGCTTTTGTACATACCTAAAGTTTATGTGTGCTCACATCTAAAGAAATACGGAAAAAGGGCAGCATAATTGGTTACATAAACACTTGTTTGACCATTAAAATGTTTCTCCTCTAAAAGCAAATCCCAAATCACCACCATTTGAGGCCAGGGAGTGCCTTGCTGTGTTCTCAGCTTTCTTTCCCTCTTCCTCCTGTTTCCAGATTCCGGGGAGCAAGTCCTTGTGGACGTGGAGACCAAGAGCAATAAGGAGATCATGGAGCACATCAAAAAGATTCTGGGGAAGAATGAGTGAGTTGTTGGGCTTGACCTGGAGAGGTGCAAACGTCTTGGCCCAGAGATTTGAGAGGGAGGAGATGGGCGTGCTGGGAGGGGTGTTGAGAGGGCGGACTCTGGCAGGAGCCTCGGATGCTGACCAGAGAGTGGGCCGGAGTCTGTGCGCCTGAACCTCTGAGCTGCAGCTCCCTGCACCGTGAAGACAAAGATGGTCCTTTCCTCCTGGGTCCACGGGAAGCTGAGAAGCATCTGAAATGTGCGCCCTTGTGGCTGTGACCATGTCCCTCTTGGGGAATCTCAGCTTGGAGCTAGTGGGTGACCAACCCCAGGGCCTGCTGTGACACATTCCTTTTCTTCCCATGAATGGAGGGAGGGAAGATGGGAAAGTCTGTCTTGAGAAAGCGCACGAAGGCACTTCAGGCCCCTTGGTCCTGATTGCCTGTCCTCAGAGCTGGGGTCACCCCTTGCTACCCTTCACCAGGGTGCAGGCCTTCCTGCGCACTCCCAAGCCCCGGAGGCCCGGGGGGAGTAGGGAGCAGCGTAGGAGGTCTCCCTGGCAGATGCTGGGGCTCACGGCTGAGAAGTCCCCCACTTCCCAGCAGCTTGGAGCTGTGTCACCCACGCCTTGTTGCTGTCTGTGTTCTTTGGCAGGGAAACCCTCGAGAGAGAGGAGCAGGAGAAAAAACAGCTTTCTCACCCAGCCCACTTTGGCCCCCGAAAGTATTGCCTGCGGGAGTGCATCTGTGAGGTGGAGGGGCAGGTGCCCTGCCCGGGCCTGGTGCCATTGCCCAGGGAAATGACAGGGAAGTACAAAGCAGCTCTGAAAGCCAGTGCCCAAGACTGAGGCCCCAGAAAAGCCCTTGGTCCTATTCCCCGAAAGACTGAAAATCTCTTTGCAATAAAAGGGTCTCCTTTACACACTTGTGTAAAAGTGTATGGGGGGGAGGGGAGGAGTTGGGCTGTAGCCAAGCTGCCCAGTGAACACCCTGCGCCATCAGGGCAATAAATGCTTCAGGATCACTGAGCAGTGTGGCATGAATCCGGTCTGATAGGCCTTTGTAGGGAGGGAAGGTGTAAGGCCGCAGCCTGGTGACATCTCGTCTCAGTCCTGCAGCCCTTTCCTGGTCTCTACTGGCTTCGACTCTTCTTCCAGGCCTTGCTCTGGAGAATAATGAAGAACTGCCGCGTCGCGGTCTGGCCGGAGCTGTCTGGCTGGTGGTATAGACGTCCTCTCCAGTCAGGCTCTTTGGGATTTTTCAGAAATCCCAGGGCAAGCCTGTGTGCAGCGCTCGCTTTTTAAACTAAAGCCAACTGACCACTGGGGCGAGGCTGTGCCAGAGGCCAAGAGGTCCCAGTGGAGGCTCAGACCTGCCTCCCTGGCAAGGAGAGGGCGCCCCCTGGTGGAGGGCGCTACCCTCTGGCTTGGTCAGCCTTCATTTACTGAGGTTTGGAAGAGGGTGTGAGGTGTCACTGGGGGTCTGCCTGGGAGTTCTTTCCTCACAGGACACTGATGTTGCTGTCACTTCAGTTGTATTGGTTTCATTCCTCAGGAGACACCAGGGCCCTCTAGGGTCACCTTAAGATTAGGTTTACTTGGTCAGGAGTGAAGGACTTGGGCTGAAGCCAAAAGCTCCCTGTGAGATGGGAAGAAAGGTAGTCCTTGTCCCAGTGTGCGACTGGGATGTTTTATATAAGTGTTGCAGACTACCTCATTAAATTGAGGGAAGTTTGGCTCCTTTCACATATGGTGCTCAGGTTATGTGATTTTGTACCAGACCTGTGTTCGGGGTGATGGTGTAAACGTCGGGGTTGGGGGGAGGTGGGCATGTGGGTCTGATGTATAATGGGTAGCTGTCCTGAATGACCACAGGCTTATGAGGGTTGTTTAACTGAAATTCAACACTTTGGTGCTCTCTCCCCCGTCACCATTTCCGAGGGCGGCTAGAAAAACCTGTCCCCCATCCTAATCCCTCCCTGGGTGCTGGTCTCAGTTCCTGCCATGTTTCTGATACTGCTCCCAGCTGGTGGCAGCCATGGCCTTCACAGTGGCTGACTGGGCTTTTCAGAAAGAGTTGGTTCCTCTTGGCCTTGTCTCCAGAGCTAGTGAGACAGAAGGACTTACAGAAATGGCCCTTCCCTCCATGGTCCACAGGGCGCCCCCAGGGTTGCTAAATAGGAGGATCGCCCTGAACTAAGCTAGTTTTTGACCCCTCTTTAGAGAGAGAATAAATGTCCAGTGCCTGACACGATGGTGCTGCTGTTACTGTTTGCGTGGACTATTTTATAGGTAGCAGGTAACATGCATGGAGATAAACACCACTGGGGGGCATTATTCCTTTGTCATCTATTTCCTACTTTATTAGTGGTAAAAAGATGGGTTTAAATTTACAAAAATGGGAAGAAATTAGTAGAGAAGATTGCTATGAGGATCTTTTTTTTTAATTTTATTTTTTTATACAGCAGGTTCTTATTAGTTACCATTTTATATAAGTGTATATGTCAATCCCAGTCCTCTCATATGAGGATCTTGTAATTGACACATTTTCTTAATTCTGTCTGCATAAGCAGTGTTCACCAGATGGTTTTTGGCCTTGTTCTACTGAAGTGACCAGTTTTCTTCTCATCTTGAGTTCTACCTGGCAAAGCCACTTAAAGCTATTTGGCTGCCTGTGGGTTCTGCCATGAATCTGACTTTGGACCTTAGAATCCTCATCTGTAAAATGAGAGGTCAGATGACATAATGAGCAAGTTCTAAACTTCTGAAACTTTAAGAAGACGTTTTTACCCTGGATAGCAAATATCCTTACAGGAAGCGTCTGCCGGTTTGAGGCCTGGCTCTGTGCACATTTGTCTGTGCCAGCGATCTGTGCGTCCGGAGGCCCAAGCTGTGCTCTGCTCTGCTCCAGGAAAGTCTGCGTGGCTTCTGGACACCATACCAAGGAGTGGCTCCACTGGGAGGACGCAGAGGGGATGGTCCCACCAGCATTTTCGTTAAAGGTATTTACAATCCAGTGGACCAATCAAATGGACCATCAAGGGCTAAGTCACTTTTGGGCAAGGCTAAGGTGGGGTGCAAGCTGTAGGGGTCTGACGACCAGGGTGCCTCCTTGCCACCTACCTGGGGTTCAGGCAGAGCATTCTGGGTGCCTCTGGGGGTCAGGCGTTACCGATGTTACTATTACGAGGAGAAATGAGGAGCAGGATGCACATTAGTTTTTAATTCACTTTAATAGTATAAACCTCTTTTAGGTAGTAGTATTAAGCCACAACAATAATGCCACATTGAAACAGCATTTAATAAAATGCATAAAGCTAACTCATGCACTGCAATACTCTATATACAAACACAACAATGCAAATTCTTCGAGACTGAAGACATTGATTAGATATAAAATTCAGTTTAAAAAGAACATGCTGTTTTTTAAATGCCATCGCATAAACAAAGCTGATTTCAAGCTATACAGCTTTCGACAGATTTTAAACCTGGAATTAAAATGTGATGGCATAAACAATATTTTCTATATTGTGAAGGGCAGAGGTTACAGAAACGGTCCCAAAAATCTAACACCCAAATTTTCCTTTAACACACTTCTTTTGAAAGGGCTGGTAGTGCAGCTACATTTTAACAGACAGCTCCAAACTACAGGTAAAAACTATGGTTTGTACTATGAAAATGTGCAGTTTTCAGTTATAAAACTAGTTGAACACTGGTTTACAAGATAATTGGGAGAACGGAGAGAGTGTAGAAAAATACTCCAGCACTTGAGTTGTGTGTGGCAGCAGCATTTAGAATCCATGAGTGCTCTGGTTGTTAAAATGATAATTGACTACACTTTCCTAAAGAAAAGCCATTTTTAATGTAAAGACTACCATTTCTAATTGTTATCCAAGTGTTAAGCTTTATCACAGTCTGTCAATCGATAAATATTGCTGAGCCTTTTTTCCCAGCATTTCAGAATTATTATTGGCTTCTTAACTGAAAGTATAGCTGGGCATTAAAAATATCTCAGACATTCCTCACCCCCAAGATACTTTTTTTAAACTCACAGTTTAATTATTCTTAGATTAAAGTTAAGGTAAATAGCCCCAAAGGAACACTTTTAAAGATTCATTTAGAGACTGTCAGGCTTCCACTTGTTTTAACTGGAGAGCCACGTTCAAATAGTGCGATTGTCACGACAGGCAAGGACACGGGAAAGGTCGAACAATCACTGTGGGATGAGGCCAGTGAAGTAGCAGGAGCTTTTGTCACATCAAAGCTATGGGAAGCTGAAGGCTAAACGACCCACCATCTCACAAAAGGCACCGAGTACTGTGGTCTCAATGAAGTATTTTCAAACATTTCAGTAAGCTTATTTTTTTTAAAAAGTAACCTGTGGATTACGTGAGTTTTTGCAGTTATCCAGTGATTTCTTTCAGCAGGCCAGCTTTCAACCTTCCCACCATTCAGGTCTCTGCTTACCAGGTGCATGAGCAACTATTGCTGGGCTGGGCCCTGGCTCCTGAGTGCTGTATCTCAGTTAAAGCCCGATTAATGGGAAAATTCCTCAGAATAGACCTGGACAAGGAAAATTTGGCATTTGTAGCTTTAAGGGTATACATCTGTATAAAAATGCAATTTTTATCTGAAATTTAAAAATTTTAGAATCATAATTCATAGAAAGGAATAAGGTCAGTGGATTTCGTTCACATGCTATATATACAGTTAGATAATTTAAGATTTGTAATTTGTATACCATAGAAATCAGCCATCAACATTCATGCTTCCTAGAGAATAGAAAGCAATGTTATCCTGCCAGGGCCTTTCTGTCTGGAACTTGCCCTGGTGCAGAGTGGACACTGACCTCAGGGCCTTTCCCAGCCAGGCTCACCCAAAGGAAAATGGAGTTAAAGTCTCAGCAAATCCATCCTGCTGAGGGGACCATGGAACACCCACATCAATTTACTGTAGAAACTCTATCATAGATTCTCTGTAAAACAAAAGGAAAGTCTGGATACGTGGCTACATGTCTGTATACATAATATATACATCTATGTACACATACGCTATATACACTGTACATATAGAGAAGGTATAAACACATGTACATTCAGTCAGTCACACAAGCCTATAAATCTGTACACACACAATGCCGCCGAAGGGACCCCAGGGCTGAACACACAGAAGTGCCTGCTGGTGGGAGGCACAGGTGAGGAGGCCCAGGACTCTGTGTACAAAAGACTCATCCCACTCGGTCATGATGCGGAGCTAGCTTTGCAAATTTACATCAAAGTTAAGACATTTTCCAAGAGCCGCACAACCTATGGAGAATGGAAGTGGGACAGTGAAGGATGTGAGTGTGTGCCCTGCTTTCTCCGGCCTTTGCAGGCTTTGAAGGGCACCATCCTCCAAAATAAAGGTGAGCATCAGAAGATGCCGCCTTTCATGACCTGGACTCAGAAGAGTTGTAATGTCACCTTCAGCCCCATTGCACATAAGGCCACTTCCACTGGAAAGTGGGCAATGCGTTTCCAGGCTCTAATCTGATCAGGCCCTGGAACTTGGATCCCCATCCAAAGGCTGCTTGTCAGGCAGAGGGCAGGGCTGGGAGCAAGACTGCTCTGCTTGCTGTTCCCTCAAAGGATCAGGATAAAGAGCACTAGGTACAACGAGAGCCCTTCTAGTTCTTGGCTCCCTGCCGTGGCTACCCCCAAACAAGCTAGAAAGCCAGTATGCAGTGTGGCTACAGCCCTGTGCCCCAGCGAGGGTGCTGCCGCCACATCGATCAGGGAGCCATTGGTAGCCGTGTCCATTGCCACCACCTTGGGAGAGAGTCTGCATTTAATACTGACGCTGACAGGCTAGAAAACGATCCCTCTTGAGGGCGATTACATAACATCTTACAAGTGACTACACCTGAAATTAAATATAAAAACTCAAACAACAAAAGAACCCTGACCACAGCCTCAAGGCAGAGGTTAGACAATAAATAAGGTAGCCTCCCCGCCCCACCCCAAACACACACACACACACACACACACACACACACACACACACACACACACACACACACACAAATCAGAAGGGTGGTAACATACTTCCTTAAAAATACTTTCAAGGAATAACATGGAAAATATTTGCTTGAGTAATTTGGTCTTTTTCTACATCTCTTCCGGTCCTGTTTTATGATTATATGTAATGAACTCCACAAATTTCAATAGATAACTGTCCAACATTATCTGAAATACTGATGGAAAAGAGCCCACTTCGTCAAGAAGCAGTGGTGTACGTCTGTCCCCACCTCCCTTAGGTACTTTCCTCACGGAGGGAGGGGTGGCTGGGCCAGGATTTTCGTGGCAAAGAATCCTGATCCTGGCTTATTTCACTCAGATGCAGACTACTCAGGGCTGGTCTCACTGTACTAAATCAGAGTTTCAAAAACTACTAACAAGGGTTAAAAGTCTGGTCAAAGTTGAGCCCAAATATTTACTTGCAATCTCTTTAAATAATTCTTGACTCTGGGTTTCTTTTAACCAGTTTGACAAGAGAGAATGGACCTGCTGTCAAAGGCTTGAGATGATCTGGAGTGGCGAGAATTCAGGTAGTGTGGAGCTGATTTTTACGGAAAAGTCCACTTCAAAGTAAGGCCAAGGGGATCTAGGAAACTAATGAGGAGTGTTCAAAGCCCAAAATGGTCCACTAGAATCAGCCATCAGCAGTGAAGGGACTCAGGGAGCAGGACCAGCTTAGAATCAGCTTTTCTCCCGAGCTGTCCTGCTGGAGTGGGGCATATGCTTATCCAGGTGTTCACTGGCTCCCTGCTGGTACCACCTTCTGTTCCCAGCAGCGACTTCAGTCTAGGTCTTGGCTAAGCTGCCCTCATACCTTAGCAACCTGAGTGTAAAAGCCTCACAGACACAGGACGCCCAGGGCAGCCGGCCAGTGTGGACCTTTTCACCATCACCGAGAGCTCAGACCTGAAAGATGTGTGACACAATACGTGTTCCCAGGGAGCTGCTACAGGATCAACAGACATGCTTACATCCAAAGTCAAAAGAACAGAAAAACAGGCAACTCGCTATGTAAGATGCACACAAGTGCTACAAAATACCCTCTGCGAAAATCCTTAGCCACTTTTTGCCTTAATTTTGAAACTTAAATCACTTCAAAGTTAGAAAACCAAAAATTTAAGCTGTCAAAATTAAATCCTTCCCATTATTTTATAACAGGTACCCCCACTATTCTCCAAAATTTGCTCCCAAGGCATGAACGATAAATGACATAATCAGATCCAAACAGGAATTTCCAAGTTGGAGACACTGTTCCCACTGATTCCCACTAATGACTTCCATAAGTGCCGCCGCCAACTGCGGAATAGAGTCCCGTCTTGCCATAAGCCCGTGGCGGCAGCCCGGCACCCACCTTGCTCTCCTCAGCTTTACACGGCCATGGATGCCTGGAGGCAGGGGAGTGAGTGCACTGGGGTCTTTTGGGGTATCATCTGATCAAAAGGTTCCAGAAATACAAGTTTAGCCTCACACTGTATTTTCTTAATCTGGGCTACACAGAAAGAAAGTACAGGTACCTGAGGCAGCCTTGCTACTTTTCCCAAATGGAAATGTGAGCTGCTGCTTCACAACCAGGGGAACTATGGGCGCTTTTCTCCGACTAAACTTCCCAATAACCGCATTCTGTTCTTGTAAACAATGGTCACTATCACTTACAAGGAGAAAGAAGATGATAACTTTGGGGATTAAAGGTTGTTTTTAAGGAGCATGCAGCCTGCTTCTACATCCATCATGTAAAACGCTCCAGAGTTCGTCTGCTGGCACAACCGGGGGAACCCAAGTGCGTGGTACGCCAGGATCATTGAGAGACCTGCTGACAGAGGTGCTGAGCCTGGAGACACTGAGAAACATGCCACTCAGCTCCACCACACCTGCTGCCTGGGCAGGCAGCAAGACCCGCACCACAGTCCACCTCCCAGTTCGGACCGAAGTGCAGGAACACAGGCCCTTCCCAAGGGTTATTTGGGATGGAAACTGCTGAGAAGGGAGCCCTCGCACTCCTCCACCTGAAAAACATGCAACCCACCGCCACACTGTAGTCGGGAGGTCCCGGCAAGGGTTCAGAATGCTCACCTTGCACTTTTTGGTCAGAACGCTCCAACTGCTGTAAGTGATGGAGGTGATTCGTGGATGTTTTCAGTTGCTGCAGGAATTGGCAGTTAACATCTTACTGGTTTAATCCAATTCTGAGAACCAGTCACCAGAAGAGGCCCGAGTTCAGAGGAGCCTGCAGATGCCCGTCACAGACCAGGACCAGAGGTCAGGGAACCTGACAAGCATCAGCTCTGGCTGAGGAAGCTTCGAATTCAGGTCACCACGATTGTGCCACCACACTCCCCCTGACTGCACGTACAATAAGCTGCATCTTCATTCATTCCCGGGAATTTAGCTCTACACCAGCAACATGTGCGTACAGTTAGGAATGACGCCTTCCTTCCTTAAGCATAAATGATTGTCTCCTGTAACCCTATTGCATTTTCACAGAAATCATTAGTATTTCGGCAAAAGACATACACAGTTTTCCATTTGCCCTGCACACAGGCAAGATGTTGCTAACATTACACATTGATAAGAAGTGCTTAGAAAGTGCTAATATCATTACCCTGGTAATTAGTAGCTATTATTTCCAAGGACGTTTTTAATATATACACACATACTGTTGTTCTCTTAGGTTCTTTTAGTTTTCTTTAACTAGTCTCTGACATAAAACTTTGCTTTTTTTTTGCCCTTTGAGAATTTCTAAATAAAAACTGAGTTAAAAGATTGTTCCAAAATCTGCTGCTTCATCAAAAGGCATTAAAACATTTCTTATGGCAGGAAAGGATCCTACTAGTCTTTTAGTTGCTACTGTCTGGGATTAACAGATAAGAAGAAACCAGGTAGGAAATAGCTAAGATACTGGAAATATTTGCACATACCAAAATACCACTACTTATTTTCTTTGTATTTGAGCGGTCCTGGGCGGATCCTGTGCTCCTCGGCAGGTGTGAGGTGTGCGCTATAGGCTGGCTCCGGTGATCTGGCCGTTATACTCTGCTGTCTCCATCTTGAGGATGTAGGGGATTATGCTGTCTATTGAAACATTGCCGATGAGACCAGTAAAAAAAAGTTCTTCTGTTATGTTGGAGCTCATCAGCCTGAGTGCTGGCAGGCGGACGAGAATCCGGGCCAACCTGTAAGAGGAAGGGTCATTAGAGAAAGGGGGGTTCGCTGCACTTCAGACTTCACCCTGGATAGGCTCCCAGGGGCCCTGTCTGCACTGCTCGGAACTGAACCAAACAAACACATTCACTGTCCCACCCTTGCTTTTCTGATTTCAACAGTTCCTCTTGTAGGAGTTTATCATGAGTGCAAAGATTATGTACAGATATGTTCCCTTCATTGTTTATAACGACTCTCCTCAGCCCCACCAAAATGAAAAATCTGAAAACCTGTCAGTGGAGGGTAGGTTAAAATAAAGTATGGTGCTTCCATATAATGAATCACTACATATTCATTAAAGAGGATAATAAAGGTCTATATCCACTGATAAGAATTCCATGACATACAGCTGAATAAAAACTTAAAAGAAGGATGTGAGGGCTTCCCTGGTGGCTCAGCGGTTAAGAATTCGCCTGCCAATGCAGGGGACATGGGTTCAAGCCCTGGTCCAGGAAGATCCCACATGCTGCAGAGCAACTAAGCCCGTGTGCCACAACTTCTGAGCCTACGTGCCACAACTACTGAAGCCTGCGCGCCTAGAGTCTGTGCTCCGCGACAAGAGAAGTCACCGCAACGAGAAGCCTGCGCACCGCCACAAAGGGTAGCCTCCGCTCACCGCAACTAGAGAAAGCCGGCGCGCAGCAACGAAGACCGAAGGCAGCCAAAAATAAAAAAAAAAAAAAAGAGGATGTGAAACAGCAAGTACAGCGTGACCTCACTTGCGTATATTCCTTTGTACGTATGTGTGTAAATAAAGTACTTGGAAGGATGGTCACCAGAATGCTAATGGTTGACCTCTGGGTACTGGGATTTGAAGTGATTATATCAATTAAAACTTTTTCTATATTGCTCTAATTTCCAGTGTTCTTTTAGCATTGTAATTAAAAATAAAGCAATAAGATTTTTATTTGGAAGGAACCCCGGGAGGGCACACCATGACCCTGTCCTGGCAGGTCACTGAACACTATCTGAAGCATCTCGTGGATGGGCCATTTCCATAGCCAGCACCCAGAGCGGTGGGCACCAGGACGCAAACTGCAGGCCAGCCCAGTCTTGAAACGACTGATATTTTCATAAGTAGGGAAATGATGAAATTATGGCATCTCCTTGGCCATGGAAAATGATTTAGAAGAATGTATACATGCCCACTGAATATTAAGTGAAAAAAAGGTCACGAAACCTTATTTTCTATTTTCTGATTCCAGTTGCACATACTAAGAAATTACTGGAAGTAAATACATAAAACGTTAACAGGGAAGTGGTATTTACAAAGAGCTAAAAGTTTTCTTTTTGCTTTCCAGAATGTTCTAATTTTTTCTACACTGAACGTTATTTTTGAAAGGGGAAAATATATTTGTATTATGAAAGCAGTATTCCAGCACCATCATCCATTTGCCCAGCCATGGTGTCTGGCAGGGCACCCAAAGGTGCCAAGGGGCCGACAGGCTGAAGGGTCTCGGGAAGTCAGCAAAGGCCAGTCAGGGAGGATATCTAGCTGGGCCTTAGACGCTGGCTAAGGTTCCTATCAGCAGAGATGCAAAGGATGGGAGAGGATTTCAGGAGGAACAAACAGCATGAGAAAAGGCCTGAGGATGGGACAGAGTAAAGCAATGACTGTATAAACAGGACGCAACCATTCTAGGGCCTTTTCTTTGGGAACTGAGAGTTCCCGAGTGCTATGAGAGAGCGCCCCTGCTCTCATTTCTGGCCCCAAATCACCTACCTGGCTTGCCCTCTTCTCCCCCAGGGTCCCTGACTGGACCAGGAGTAGTGATTCAGGAATTTTTCAGAAACATGTACTTTCAAAGGCCAGAGAGCTGCCATCGTCAAGGCAATTCTTGTGTGCTGGTGCTCTGCCAGCAGCCCCAGAGGAGCCTTTTCAGCCTCTTCTGGCCACAGGCTCTGTGTGGATTGGGCCCAGAGCCTCCTCAGGGGACAGCACGCCCACACACCTGGCTGTATGAGCTCTGGTGTGGGTGTGTTACCACTTTGTATGCAATGAGACTGAAACCATTCTAGATTCATTGTGAGGTCTTCAGTGACTCCAGTAGAAAATGGATCCTGCTTTGGCAAAAGCTGTGTCTGGCCATGGCGGCGTGCCTAAAGCAGAGGCAGGCTCTCTGCCAGCCAGGCCCGCCACAGGCCCCCAGTCACACCAGAGAAACTGTCCCCCTGGGGCTGGGGCACTCAGGCCCACAGGGCACCTATTGACTGAGGTCTGTCTGCAGAGGACATGATGGGGGAAGGTGGGGAGGGAAACACTATGCTTGACAGGCCCCAGAAGTTCACATAGCCTCCAGTGGGTTAGAAGAGGTCACGAGGAAAGAGCTCTTCCACTCCTCAGCTGGAGGGAAAGCCTGCCAGCACATTCTGCCCTATTTCAGAACAACTTTCCTGGTCAAAGCTGCATGAGAAAGGCATACAGATAACATTTTTTTCCTGCTGCCCAAACATCATAAATTTTCACCCAAATAAAGGAACTTGAAAAAATCAGTTTATGTGAGGATTAAATTACTACTTTGTCCAACCCAGTCACTCTTTCTAGGGGTCAGATTTGGCTTCTGTCAAGGAAACCCTTTTGTCTAGCACCGTCTCCTCAGTGAATGCGGGGCAGGCGGGCAGAGCTGCCGACTGTTCTGGACAAGCGGAGTCTCCGTAAGAACTCATCTCACACACAACATCAGCCCCAAAGGAGATCACGGCTCCCAACCCCTCAAATTAAAGAGCAATAACCCAAGGTCTCACCCAGTCACCCAGCAACACTGGGATGGCCTAGGACTCCTGACCCTCCCCACTCCATTTTCAGCCGTAAAATGCAAGAATTAAAGTGTGATCAAATGGAGGCTCTACCAGGCTGCCAGCAATGGGAAGGCCAATGTAACTGATATCTGCAGCTACAGATCCAGCCTCGCCCCCATCGTGCCCGTGTGCCTCACCGGTAGGTGTCTTCCGAGTAGGTTTTCTGAACATAGTCCTGCAACTCCATCTGTGCCTTTTCTTGGAATTTTTCAATCTGGCTTGTGCTGGTCAAACCTGGATGATCTGAAAAAATAAAAGTACCCCAAATTGTCTTCTGTATTTGGAAAGCCTCATTTGCAGACGTCTCAGTACTTATTTTTAGTAAAACTTCTGACAAATTTCTCAAGTGCAATAGATTGAGCTCTGAAGGCTGGTCTAGTTTGGATACTCTTGCTAGAACACTGGCTCTTCCTCTGTGCTCTGCCACACCTGAAGGTTCCCAGGAGAGGTGTGGCCCCTGGGTGCTCACACCAGCCTCAGCAGCCCCACTGGGGCTGGTTCTAGACCTGTGGCTTCCTTCCTTACTCCAGACAACATATACCACATGAAATTAGAAATTATCTGCTCTCTAGATATTTAATCACATAGTGTCTCCCACTTTTATTAGCTATTTTGTTATTCATGAGTAGGGGACCAGGGCAGTGGGACAGAGAGGTTAAGCTGGGTCCACCCCTGCTGTCAAGGACAACAGTCACCAAGTGGCCTCTCAGGTGGCTCAGAGAGAAGAGCTGACGGGGAGTGAGTGAGGCCAGCCCGGTCGACTCTTACTTTCCACCAACAGTCCCGCTGCCTCTTCTTCATCTGCTGTGACCACACCTTTTGGCATGCCCTGCAGCTGCTGCTGCTACTGCCCTACAGAGACTGTGGGTAAACTTGTGCAGTTTCAATCTGTACTGGATTATAAGTGCTAACATACCTAAAAATTAGCAAAGAGCAAAACAGAACAAATCAAAACAAAAAAAGGACACTGGGTGGTAGTATAGTCATCCCTTGGTATCTACAGGGGATTGGTTCCAGGAACCCCCCCATGGATACCAAATCCACTGATGCTCATGTCCTTTACGTTAAATGGTATAGTATTTGCATATAACCTACACATATCTTTCCGTATACTTTTAAATCACCTCTAGATTACTTCTAATACCTAATACATTATAAATGCTATGTAAATAGTTGTACCTAGTTGCTGGTGCGTGGCAAAATAAATTTTGCTTTTTGGAACTCCTGGAATATATTTTTCCTTGAATATTTTTGATTCACGGTTGTGAATCCACTGATATGGAACCCGTGGATACAGAGGGCCAAATGTGTACTCAATTTTGTTTGCTGTAGTCTTATTTAGCCAATGGCTTAGTTAGGATACAGATGATATCTATTTAGCATATGAAGTTACCCGGCACTACAGCATATTTCTTTGTGAATATAAAGACAGGACTTTAAAAGAACGTATGTATTTATGTTAGCTAGCAAAGCACACGTTACGGGAACATTCAGTCACACACAGTGTGGCAGGGCTCTCTCTACACTGCTGATAACCTGACAAACATGCTCATGTTCAGAAATATCAGCAGACACAGGTGGAAAACCGTCGTTGAGTGACCGTGACCACTGCATATCTTACCGGGGCTAAAGAGAACTATAGCTTTAAGGTATGCATACTCATAGCCGTCTATATCCAGCTTCGCCATACTGTTACAGAACTCCTGAAGCTTCCAGATGTGCTCCATGACTTGCTTTATCCGGTCGCCAGAAAGTTTATCTAGAAATCAACATC